GGCCACAACCTTTCCAATAGAACCAACAATATCAGTATTTCCACAACAAGTAGCCCAAGGCTCAAACACAATATGTATAGAATCTCAATAACAACAAAATGAACGGGAAAGTAACTCAACTATGAACAACCCCCCTTTAAATACAACTTTAATTAAAATAGATTAATGACTTCCAATAACTTCGACTTCAATTAATTTCTTAAGGATAAACTCGATAAAGAAGGTATTTCTATGAAATGGCAAACTTCGGATTCTAGTGTATGAAATAGGCTAACAACGAAAGAGATGACACAAACTAGCACTACGGCTAAATGCATGAGAATAACTCGGCAACAAAAGGATATCATGTAACAACAATTTCAACTAAGAGTAACTCAACAATAAAAGAAGTCACGTAATGATAAAAGAGGTAACAACTTCAAATAAAGCATATAAGAGTAAAGTTGACAAGTAAAGGATGTGGCATGTAACAACAACTTCAAATAAAGCATGTGATAGTAAACATGACGAATAAAAGATATAACATGTGCTAACAATTTCAACTAAATACATGAAAGAAGCCTAAGAGTCTAAACCGGTCATTTTCCACTTATAAGACCGAGTACGCACTCATCACCTCGCGTACACGGTTTTCACATAACACAAATAGCATAAATGACTCAAATCCTAAAGGGTAGTTCCTCCACACAAAGTTACGCAAGATAATTAGTTCAAAGAAGCCAAATCTATACTCTAAATGACCTTCTCGTGTGAAACAAACCTCTGAACGGCTCAAATTTGGCCAAAATAACTCAATATTATAAATAAAAATCATAGAAAATAATTCTGGATAATAAAGCTTTGATCTTTAATGAAAACTAAAAAGTCAACCCTATGCTCGCACCTCGAAACCCAACAAAATTTACAAAATCTGAATATCCAATCCGATACGAGTCCAACCATACCAAAATTATCCAATTCCGTCATCAAATTGGCCTTCAAATCCTCATTTTACATTTTAGAAAAGTTTTATGAAAATCCCCAATTTTCTCCAACGCAAATCACTAATTTAATGATGAAAACAAAGATGGAATCACGAAATATAATCAAATCCAAGTGAAGAACACTTGCTCCAATCCAAAGCATGAAAATCCCCTCCAAAATCGTCCAAAATCGAGTTCTCTAACCCAAAAAGTAATAAAATATCAAAAGCCCTCGAAATAGAGTACTTTGTATTCTGCCCAGTGAATTATACATCGCGATCGCGGAGAACAAAGTCTTCATCTTCCAAATCGTGCTTCGCGAATGCGTAAGTATAGTCGCGAACGCGACCCTCAACCCCAACAAATATAGCGAACGCGGGCTCAACCTCACGCACGCGGAGAGCAAATTCCTGATGATCCCTTCCAATTCCTTATACGCGATCGCAAATTCCGCAACGCGAACGCGAACATAAAAATCCTCAAAGCCTCGCGAATGCATCACCTCTTCGCGACCGCGAAGAACAAAAATGCCTGCTTCCACAAAACACTACGCGAACGCGGTTGCTTCATCGCGATCGCGATGAACAACACCAGATAACAACAATCAGCAGTCCAAAAATAGAAGAAAATGGCCTGTAGCCCATACGGAACACACCCGAGGCCCACGGAACCCCGTCCAATCATACCAACCAGTTCCATAACATAACGCGGACCTGCTCGAGGCCTCAAATCACATCAAACAACATCAAAATGACGAATCACACCTCAAATCGTACTTAATGAACTTATGAACTTTCAACTTCTACAACTCGCGCCGAATCATATCAAATCAATCCGGAATGACCTCAAATTTTGCATGCAAGTCCCAAATGACACATTAGATATATACAAATTCCCGAAATCACAATCCGATGTTGTTATCAAAAAATTCAACTCCTAGTCAAACCTCTCAACCTTCCAAACATTCAACTTTCCAACTTTCGCCAAAATGCATCAAATCAATCCGCGGACCTCCAAATCTAAATCCGGGTATACGCCTAAGTCCAAAATCACCATACGAAGCTATTGGAATCATTAAAATACCATTCCGGAGTCGTCTACACAAAATTCAAACTCCAGTCAACTCTTATCACTTAAACTTCAAAAATAAGAATTATTCTTCTAAATCAATCCCGAATCATCCGAAAACCGAACCCGTCCATGCACGCAAGTCATAATACACAATATGAAGCTACTAGAGACCTTAAGCCACCGAATGAGACACTAATTCTCAAAATGACCTGTCAGGTCGTTACATTCTCCCCCTCTTAAACAAACATTCGTCCTCGAACGTGCCACGAACCGCTCTGAAGTCATGAAGTCACTGAATGGACTCACCATACATATACTCGCAGTTCATCCCACGTCAACCCAATCCACATAAGCCCAACACACCGTCTCAATTGAAGATTATTCCTTCCACCCACACCGATAAGCCTTAGAACTAAATTTCTCACTATCCGATCATTTCCCAAAGACCCGATTCCCACATAAACACACTGTATCAACCTCAACCAGCTGCAACGGTTCATGCATACACCCACAAGGTATAACTACATGACGTAACACATCACACATATGCCCATAACAACAACTCTGACCACGATAGCTGCCCATAACCAAATCTCACACCGGTAAATAATCTCATAACAGCTAGAACCATGTTCCAAACCTTCACAACACTGACAATGATGCAAGAAACATGAATATCCCATAACCATTCACTCGAATCGAAAAGTCACACCCAACGCCTCCTGGGCACATACCCCGCAAGCTAAACCCAATAAACACAACGCTGGTATGTCTGAATATGAAAGAAATACATGAGAGAACTATGAAACAAGCTCGACATGCACAACTCCCTATCAGTACCATACTACGAATCCATTTCACAAGGGAGAATCAAAACATATGAACTAATCACAAGGGTCTCATCTTAATATAACTCCACAACGGCACGTAGCCCGGTTCAAACATATCAAACCACACGAGAACGCGAGGATCCCATCCTCAGCTCTGAATCACGAGTAGAATAAACATCACACCAACTGAAACCTTCCACTAACTCAATTCTGCGAAACAAAATCACAACACGTAATAGACTTCCCATAGCGGTAGAGCACCTAAATCACAAATCGTAACCAATTCATCCAAAAATCACATCAAAACTTACCGTAATGAGTATCAGAAAGTTCATCCTAGTTTCATGACACTCAGTGGTAAAAAAAAAAGCAAAACGATAGACACGGGATTCCACTATAGAATCTCCCAACAGGGGTAAACACATAAGCAGCGTACAAGAATCATGAAACTCACCCATATGAGTACCGAAACAAAAGCGTAATAAGCCTACGCAACAATAATCATAACAACCTCCCAAGACTAGGTAGTACAGAGTCACAAACTCTAGCTGAATACATGAAAAGATCTCAAAGATCGAAATACAATACTGTTCAAATAACAAGTTGACAGTACAATGAAAGGAAAGGACTCCAAGGGACTGCGACGACTAAACAGCTCTACCTTGAATCCTCCCAATCAATAAGCTAACTCTGCCCGAGTCCGGTATCTCCAATACCTGGCTCTGTACAAAAATGTACAGAAGTGTAGTATGAGTACACCACGGTCAGTACCCAACAAGTATCAAGACTAACCTCGGTGGAGTAGTGATGAGGTACAAGTCAAGACATATACTAGTCAAAATAACTTATGCAATATAGAAGTATAAAGCTAATAATGAAAGCATGAATCAGTAAATGGCAACAAAAGTCAACAGATGATATAAAATGTAAAGTAATACGAGCACCGTGAAAGTACCATTGAGACCAAATGAGGGAAAACAAATATCAACCAATTAAATCAAGCCGTTCTAGCACAACTTTCGCAATGAATTTACTCCGATATACGTCATCTCATAGTCACAAGTCACGAATCTCAACCCACCAATAATATGCTCACGACACATTGTGCCCATATTTCTAATCACAATCGCACGGACAACTCACGTGCCAATATCTGAATTCGCCCGGCATGATCACAGGCTCACAATCACAATCCGCCCGGTGTGGTCACATGCTTACTATCACAATCCGCTCGGCATGGTAACAAGCTCAATATCACAATCCGCCCGGCATGGTCACATGCTCAATATCACAATCCGCCCGGCATGGTCACATGATCAATTTCAACATAAAAGCAGATAATACAAGAATACATGGCACGATCAATAAATGTTAAGTTTCGTACTCCTGAACTAGTGTAAGTGGCATGTTGCGATGTATGCTTGTGCGTGTGTACTGTTACATCCCAAATCAAAAGTAATATCAAAGACATCGAGCAGCTCATTGGAAGAAACACAATAAGTCACGTAAGGTATATGACATACGCAAGGAGTATCACACTCGCACAAATATCATCAACCTAATGCCCCCAGGCCATCACACATCATCCCTGACATTACCACCCTTATCTCTCCAATAGCCACCTGCATCACTTCGCCCTGACAATATCATTAGCTACCCGTATCACTCCGCGTAATAGCCACCCGTATCACTCCGCATAATAGCCACCCATATCACTTCGCATAATAGCCACCCGTATCACTCCGCATAATAGTCACCCTTATCGTTCTGCTCGGACAATAACACAATAGTCACTCGTATCATTCCGCACAATCAACAATAGTGAGACGCCACCCTTATGCTCCGCATAACAATAAAAGAAGTCACATAATGATAAAAGAGTTAACAACTTCAGATAAAGCATATAAGTGTAAACTTGAAAAGTAAAGGATGTGACATGTAACGACAACTTCAAATAAAGCATGTGATAGTTAACATGAAGAATAAAAGATATAACACGTGCTAACAATTCCAAATAAATACATGAAAGAAGCCTAAGAGTCTAAACTGGTCAATTTTCTCATATAAGCCCGAGTACGCACTTGTCACTTCGCGTACACGGCTTTCACATAACACAAATAGCATAAACAATTCAAATCCTAAGGGGTAGTTCCCCCACAAAAAGTTAGTCAAGATACTTACCTCAAAGAAGCCAAATCAATACTCTAAATGACCTTCTCGCGTGAAACAAACCTCCGAACGGTTCAAATATAGCCACAATAACTTAATATCATAAACAAAAATCATAGAAAATAATTCAGGATAATAAAGCTTCGATCTTTAATTAAAACAAAAAAGTCAACTCAAAAAGTCAACCCCGAGCCTGCACCTCGAAACCCGACACAATTCACAAAATCGGCATTATATGTAGAAACAATATCAGCAAGATGTTGGTATAGAAACAATATCAGCAGGTTATCTTGAACCCGTATTCCAGCTACCTCTGTTGTAGTTGGTAAATTATATGTACGTTGATCTAAACATGGATCACATTTAATCACAATATAAGAATCAAATAGTTTCGGAACATTTGCCAGGGATTCAGAAAGATTGAATATGGATTAACTGAGAGAACATTCATAAGTCTTTTGACTATTGATTCGTTGATATTCACTGAACAGGTCATTCTGTAAGCAAGTTTATTTTCGTTATCATAGAAGTATAACTACAGATTCTTTGCTTTTTTATCAGAAAGAAGTAAATCAGGTATGAAATGATACATTTGCCCTTGAACTCAAAATGTATATATACCATGATATCTCCTTGCTAAATCTTTATCATTGGTTACACAAAGTAAGGTAAACGCAAACATATTATTATATGTTCTAATGTAGATACGAAAATGTCTAGATTCTTCGGTATTTCCTGAATATAAATATGATAATTCATGGGGGAGCTGATACGAAATTAACTCCACTGACCCACTGCCACAACAAAATCCAGGTGGTTCATACTGAAACCTTTTTGCATTGCAAAATTTATAGTTTGGAACGACTTTTAAACGTGCATAATCTAAGTTATTTTTATTATTTTTCGTATAGACTATTTTGTCCAATCTATAACACGTATGTTATTAGTATTGGTAAAATAAAGACTGGCCAAAAATTCAGATAATGAGTAATGTTAGTTGAACGACTAAGACTAACCTTTGTTGGTAACAACTTCAATGGAGGCATTTTGTTGTCCCTTAGATGTACCGGATATTGATCCTGGTGTATCAATTTATTTAATTTAGATGTACGCCTATGGCATGACGAAGTAACAAAGTTAAAGGTAGAGGTTGTAGCCTTACCTCTTTCAAACACACAAAATGAGTGATCGGCGTCTTTTCCTTTATCAAAAACTGCTGATAAAGTAGGAGTTTCATGGCTCGTGCCTACTGCATAAAATATGAAACACATTTCATAGTAAGTGAATATTTATATTATAAGAATTGGTAAAATAAAGGCTGAGATAAATTCTACTAATGCATAATGTTACTTTAACACAAAAGTAATACTAACCTTTGTTTGAAAAAACTTCAGGAGAGACATCTTGTTGACTCTTACATGTTCCAGATATTGATCATGATACAAAAATTGTTATAATTTAGATGTACGCCTAAGTTATGACATGGTAAGAAAAGATAGAACTGAAGGTTGTAGTTTTACCTCTTTCAAATACATAGAATGGATGAGAGATACTTTTTTCTTTATTAAAAGAACTTGATAAAGTACTAACTTCATAGCTGCCACTTACTGCATTGAATATGAAATACATACAACAATAAGTTAGTATTCAAGTAAACTAACAGAAATAGAGAAAACCCAATATGTCATTCCAACTTTTGACATTAGCAGAAGAAGACTCTCTTAAGTAAGTGCACTTTGTTTTGACAACATTGTGTCACATTGAGGCTTTATCCTTTCAGATGGGCACTCAACAACTGATTTTATGGAACCATTGCAATTTTGTAGCTCCATTTTTTGGTGCGTCATTGTAATACGTTGGTATTTTTCCATACGTATCACGTCGCCTCGATTTCTTTTCACAGTTTGTGTCTTCTGTACATGTACATGTTTTCCTTTGGTTGGAAGACATTTCTGCACAAACTTATTACTGTGAGATATCTGCCTCTCAAATAGTTCAAATAATCTGACCAAAAAGTGCCTCAGTAGACTTTAAGCAGCACAATTTATTGTTTATTCTACTGACAATACATAGGCAGTTGAATGCAATACAAGGCCGCAACAAATTTATTCCATTGTAAATATGTTAGGTTCTAAATTTACCATTCTTGTCATGTAAGAATTAACTAATGCCTACTCCTAGGAAAACTATCTTCCAATTTGAAAAATTAGAACTTCAGACTTTTCTAACTTAAAAACTATGGAGAAACAATATTCTTTTACTGTCCGACCCCTATGTACCATGAATAGTTATAGAAAAGTTTCTTAAATTCAAACTTCGCTAATTCCCGAACCCAAAAAGGTCAACTTATTCATTAAAAAGAACATTAATTAAAATAGCAAAGGTTGGTACGTCGGGAAACAAGACAACACCAGTAATGTTTTGTTGATTATGAATAAATATATGCTTGATTTTGGTATATTAGTTTCATTCTTCGTCAGATGCGTCCAGAGCAGGGCTAAAATTAAAAAATTGAATCCAAAATTATAAAACTTTGAAGTGACAACATATATGAAATTAATAGGTACCCTTAGAAGGAATCTAGCGGAAGCTAGTGGTAGTTTAAAGGAGCAAAAACTATGGACAAATCTAAAATATATGATTTTGAGAAGTTTGCCCCATATATATATGCAAATTGAAGTGCTATTACTCTTTCCCCTAGCAAGCTCATATGCAGTAAATGTTCATATATCTATCTGTAAATCAATTATCTATGTGGACACTTACCCTTCTCTTAAAGTTGCTAAATTGCTCTATGCAAACAACTCCGGCACTATGAAAACAAATATGCATAACAAATTATTACAACTCTCTTTGCTGGTTCGATCATTTTGATGCGCCAGTATGGTGATCTCATGGCTATCTGAAGAGGATGGTTAATATACAATCTCAGCTTCAGATTCCATCGCATTAAGACCGAATCTCTGCTCCCTTTCTCCCTTTGTGAATGAAGTATGGATGTTATAACTTAACTAAATTTAGATGCTTCTTGTTATTTCACTTGCTTCCTCATTCGTGGTCCAATATCTAATATAGTACCCAAAGACAGAGAACCTGGAGACGGCAAACTTTTTTTGCACTTTTTCTAAGACTCTAACCTAGAAGAATCAGAAGAAGGGACAAAGTGGAAGTATGTGATATAATTTAGTCTCTGCGAAATGTGAACAAAAACCATTGATACTCCTCAAGAGAAATACAGATAGAGATGAATCACAAATACTTAAAAAATAGAGAAGACAGAAATATGCATAAGAAATTTAACAGAAATTGTAATTCATTGAAGAATTTTCTCAAACACCTAGAGAACAAAAGCCATTTATATTCCTCAAGAGAAATATAAATACAGATGAATCAAAGAGATGGTAGAAGGGTTACCCACCAGAAAATACGATTGGCGGAAGAAAACACACTGAAGTGCAAACTTGACAACAAGAGGAAAGATAGAGAGCAGAAATTCTGGGCTTTTCTTAGTTGGAGATGGCGTTACTTCTCACGGTTCCGAGGTGCAGGCCCGAATTTGACTTTTTGGTTGACTTTGAGCAATTGATTAAAGATTCAACCTTTATTACTTTGGGTTAGTTTCCTTTGGCATTATTTGATATTTTGAGTTGCTTTTGGCTAGTTTCGAGCCGTTTGGAGGTTGATTTGCCCGGAATGACATTTCTAGAGTGTTGTTTGGCTTGCTCGGTATTTGATTTGACTTGTTCGAGGTAAGTAATATTTATAAACTTGGGATTGAGGGTCATTATCCCTGGGAACCATGTTATTTGTAATATGTTGAGGTGACACACATGCTAGGTGACGGGTGTATGGGCGTGCACCGTGGTAATCATGGTTCAAGTTAACTTATAGGCTAGTACCAGACTTGTTCTGCTATCATATCCTATTATATCCATATTATCCCTACTTGTTTGATTATTTGAGTTGTGATTCATGTAAGAAATCATCTTTAAGCTAAGTACTTAGTCGATTGAGACCTAATGAGGCTATTTCTGTTGTTTTAAGTCATCTGTTTTAACTGTAATTATACACTCTGTCATGGTTCTTCATTTGCATATCATATCTCAGTCTTTGTTCATCGTTCATTGTTACATCACATGTTATCATTGATTTTTTATATGTGGAGTTGTTGGGCTGAGTGGTATGAGATTGTGAGTCTTTGAGACTTGAGAGGTTGATGACTGAGGTGGGCCTTAGAGCCGTGTTAAGAGTCTTGTTGTGGATCGGGCTGCATGCCGCCGTAGGCCATACTGGCTTTATTATTATTGTTATTATTATTATTGTGGATCGGACTGTACGTCGCAGCAGGCCTTATTGGCTTTATTTTTATTGTAGATTGGGTTGCACGCCGTAGACCTTTAATTAGCGCTTGGGAATGATTTGTGTCACGACCCATTCCAAAGGGCCGCAACGGGCACGCGGTGCCTTACTCAACCATGTACCAATACAACGTATCTTTCTTATCATACTATCATGCGTAAATGGGCCAGAAAGCCGTCATGAGATAACGAGAATAAAACATAAGGGAATACTCTACATAGGATGACCTAACATGATATACAAAATTATACATGTGACATACATGCCTATAAGGATGACATGATCATTTGTACACTCAAAACATATGCCGACAAGGCCATATAAGTATCCATATACATGACATCTGTCTACAAGCCTCTAAGAGTACATAAACGTTATAAAGGTCGGGACAAGGCCCTGTCATAACCATAAACATATGTACATAAATATACTAACTCGAAAGGCAACTCCGAGACAAGTGGAGTGCAACAACACTTACTGCTGAACTGGTAGCCTACTAGGAGAATTGCAACCTATCTATCCGAACCTGCAACACGACATGCAGTGTTCACAAATAAAAGAGACGTCAGTACGAATAAAGTATTGAGTATTTAAAACAGGAAAGCATAAATAATAATAGTAATGTAAAGAGAGATAGAGAAGATACAACCTATAACATCTGAATGCCTCTGAGGGTGATTGACATGAAATGAATGATACATATACATATATATACATATATATAGTTTAAAAAGCATACGCCTCTGTGGGCATCATTATCATCATATCGTACCTGGCCTCGAAGAGGACTCGGTAAAAACGTACTCGACCATCATAATGCTAGGTAGAATCGTACCCGACCATGTGGAGCTCGGTAAAACCCAACTGATCAGTGGTTGCAAAATAGATGTCGTACCCGGCCTACTATAGCGCGGCTCGGTAGAGTAAAATAGGTACATATANATACTTTATTAGGGATAACTCTTCATCATGAATCTTATAAGAATTAGGGAATACCATCAACATTGATAACATAAGAATAAGAGAAGAAACATCAACATCAATCGTTCTATAAGAAGGGAAACAATGTAAGTACTGCTAGCTTCTAAGAGTAGAGTATCTTTGGAAGCTCATTCGTTACATTATGTACAATCGGAGTCGTGCAAAAGAAGGAAAGGGATATCCTCACATACCTTGTATATACTGCCCAACCTTAAGCTATGCAAATGCCATGACTCCTTAGTCTACAATTAGAGAAATAATACTATAATTATCGCTTAAGCATCGTAACTATTATATATTAACCACAACCGATTTTACGATAAAACGGGAAGAACTTCCCCTATATATATGGCTTCCCACAGGTTACAATAATCACCAAAAATCCCAAATAACATTAATAATTATCATATTAAGCCTCCCAAACAGTTCACCATTCAACAACATTACTAGCAAGCCTTTCGATAGATATCTCACAAGTTTTAGCTTCAATGACTTAGCCATAACTTGGATAAGCTTAAATACATGTAGAATAAGAGGTTCCTTACCTTTAAAAATATCGAACAACTCTAATTTGATATTACTTCACCACAAAGTATCCTTCCAATACAACCACAAGAACAAGGAAGCGAAACTAGCAAGCACTTCGGGTTTCTCGGTACTAGAATCACTTTGGAGGACTTAAAATCACCTAGGGTTGATATGAAAATCTTGGGAGATTATTTTGCAGAACTTAAACCTATTAAAATAACCCACCACACGAGCTGGAACCACACCAAAATCAATAACCACAAGAAGAACAAGAAACTCACTAGCGCCATAGGATTCCCGATACTTGATTTGTGTTGTTTGTCCTTTGTTTGGGTCTTGGATCATGATAGAACATTGAGAGAAGGTTTTTAGGTGTCTAGGGTTAGAAGAGAGCAAATATGAATGAGTAAAAACGGTAAGTAGGCGTCACACATATATCTCAAGATATGTTAACTGCCTAAGTGGGTCCCATAGGGAGCTGCTTGCGCAGTCTCATAAAAATGCAAATATTTCTCCACTCTGATGTTATATCGACAAACGGTTTAATGCGTTGGAAACTAGACTTGTAGATATTCAATTTGGTAGGTGGATCACCCCGTAATTCAAAGTACATTGGGAGAAAAGCCTAGTGACATTGAACCTAAATTTCAGTAAAATTTATGAACGTAACTTGTGATGACTTTCGTCGACTTTTGTTTCACAACTCGCTCGACTTCAAAACTTAACATACGAGTATCATAAGACTAAAATACCTCATAACATTACCTTTTTATCATCTTAAGTACCCTAGTATCACCCCACAAGTATGGGTTATAACATTCCCAACTTGCCGACTTTCGACGAAACTTATTTTCTTCGATTCGATTAGCTTCTTAACCTTCCAACCCTCACGGTACTTCCTTAAAACTTGTTTTAACCCATCATTATCTTTGTAAAGGTCCTTCATCTCTCCGGCTCATATTGATTCACTTAAGATGAATTCTAACATGAAAGTACGGTGTGTAACATCCTTCTCCCCTTTGGAACATTCGTCCTTGAATGTAAATGTGTCTTAGAGGAGAAACTAGCTCTTACAGATTTTACGGAAATTTTGATAGTCTCCTCTGCAAACAAGGTTATCCCATACCTTGTGTCCAAATAATTCTACTCCTGAAATATTGTAACACTTTCAATTCTGAATATCATTTAATCATAGAATGAGTATTAATCGAAATTACATAACATGGGCTAAGAAAACACATGATCAAGCTACACTTGTTAAGAATATTCTATCTAAAACAGCTGAGGGTACTTAGAATTCATTTATTCTTCAACTTCCCACATTTTTCCTTCGACGTTCTTATTCCTCCATGATGTCTTTACAGAATTCAATTTCTTGGTTTCCAACTTGCGGACCTGCCGATCTAAAATAGCAACTCGAGCCTCTTCGCAAGACAGGTTCTTTGTAATCTGAACATCAAGTGATTTTGTAGTATAGATTCCTGATTCATTAATAGCTACTGGAATCTTCTCATAAGATCGACCCTCTATTACTTGTATATCATTTAATTCATTCCTTCAATATCTAAACATGATAGCTGGGTGAATCCTAATTTTGAGGGAAAATTCAATTTAGTCCCTTCATTGGGTAGTTTGGAGTGGCTTTATATAAGTCTTGATTAGTTTGTCCCATTATGTTATTATGCTCTATGTGAGTAAAATTTTGAAGAAGATCTCATTATTAACTCAAGATTTCCTTAAATCTCATCATCGCGTGTTGGGGTTCGATCTATGACACTTCTAAGCACAAGCACTCTTGAATAAGGCTGACTTTTCTATAATTTGATACATTAAATCCGGTCGAACAATTCTGTCTTTCAAACTATCTTATGGGGAATCAACATTTTCTTCCTCATCATGCTTTATAAGGAGCTACTCCGTGCAGTTAAAAATGTATCCTTATGATCCTCCCGCATGTATAGATAATACTTAGTTATTATTGTGCGCTACTCAATAGTCGGTAATTGATTATCCCTCCTTTCATAAAATTTGACATCTTAGCTTGTAACATATCTTTGAGAATCTGAACTGTACGTTTCACTTGCTAGAATTATCTTATGTACCCAAGTTTCTTAAGAGGATTTCCAGAAGTTAATTGTAATTAAGCACCTCTATTAACCGTAATTGAGACGGAAACATTATGTACATGATCTACCTTTGCACCCTTCCATTTTACATAACCTTTAGTAATTTGTCTAGTAAAAGTAAACTGTTTTTTGTCAAACTAACCATAGTCTTCCATGTGGAATCGAACTTGCTATATTACGAATCTTATGCCAATCACTTCTCATTTTCATATTGGGTTACTTTATTCCGTGTAAATCCATTAGGTTCCTGATATTCTATTTTGTCCGATTAGCAACTGAAATATTAAGCCACAGACCCTATAATGGTCTTCTTCATCTTGTCCTACCAATGTAATCCTTTGACATCATGGTATATCTGCATCATTCCGAGATGAATAGAATAGCCTGAATAATGAACCTCTGTCCTAATACGCAGTCGGCCATGATATTTCAAGATCCCTCCTTCAATAGACTCAAACGTTGTAGTTCCTCTTGCCGAATACCCCTTTTAACTTCCTATCAAACGAAAATCTTCCCTATCTATAAGAGATGACTCTGCCATATTCCAGGCCAATATACCTTTATTACTGAGTTTGCCAAGCGTATTCTGAACCTGTTAATTGGTAAAGACCTCTAGTCAACCCTTTTTCCTTTTAGGCTTGCTCATTTATAAAACAACCCGTGACTTACGACTAAATACATCTGTTACAATACTGATTCCACTCTTTTTATTCCAGTTCTAAGTCGTCTTATATGAAACATGTATACCATTATGGTTCTCCATTCCTCCTTCTGCTTATTCACTTTTGCTATCGCTGCAATGCTAGGTAGTGTGAGAGTCCTTTGAATCTCTAATCGGTATGTTAGTTCTAGTTCATCCTAAGTCATCCTCCGATAATGACACCTTGCATCTGTATGGTTAAATTGACCTTCCGATAATCCCTGTTAAAATTACTAATCAACTTTTAATGAAAATGGGGCCCATACTGCTTTATAACCTCGGATCTCATTGCCTATGAAACTTATTGTACTTTCATACTTTAACTTATGTCCCTTAATAGTCTTCCATATTCCCTCATACTGCTCGACTTGAAATCATAAAAACATGTCATAACATTCCACTTCTTGTCTCCTTTGAATCAAT